GAGGAGCACCGAGCGGACTGACATTAATCGTTTTAATCCTCAAGTGCCAAAAAAGAAATCGATTAGCGTTTTTCTGACGATTAATCGCACACGACATGATTATGCCCAACACTAGTCAACCCTTCCCCTTACCATTGCTCAGCTCTTCCTCGTCCGCCTCATCTTCTTCGTCCTCAAGTTCTTCGTCATCATACATTTCTGAAACGTCACTGTCTTCAGAGTCATCTCCATCATCATCACCCTGCTGCTCCTGTGTGGTCTCATCAGCTTTGTGTCCATTTGCAGTGACCGGTTGTGGGGTCTTTGTGGTGGGACGGTCTCCTGTGGACAGTTCAGTCCCAGTTTGTGGACTCCCTGCTGTCAGCTGTCCACATGCTGCGGACAGGCCGCTCTGTTGGGGGTCCGAGGGCTGCTGGGCTGCACCTCCTCCATCCTTTTGTCCATGGCTGACCTGACGTCCCCGTTTGTCTGACATCGAAGCACGACAGGCCGAACTATCTASAGCTGGAGTGTCCTCAGGCCGCGGGACGTAAGAGGATCCCACACATGTGAGCTGGACGCCCAGGGTTTACTCWGTGGCCATACCTGTGGAGAGAGAAGCATGTGTTCAATCAGCATGCTAACTCACGTYACACGAGTCTCAGTCAACATTTCTRTTTCACCTCACCTTCCTGGCGACACCACCGGACTGAACTCCTCTGACTCGTGTTTTTTTCTAAGCAAATGTCTTTTATCTTGAAAGAAAATTCCTTTTACGACACACGTTTTCTCCTTTAGCTCACCTGGCGAGASACCGAGGATGGTGCAGCAGCGACGTTTGCTTTGTTGATCCCAAAAYGCACGAAAGGCATAATGTGAGAACCAAAAACCAAAAATAATGTTTTAATTTCTCTCGAGAAGGCGTGAAAACCAGCGAACTATCGGAATAGATAACGCCGATCTGAATACCAGAAGACAACAAAGGCAAACTGACGAAGAAGCAGCGGGACCAGGAGAAAACGTCTGGGTGATCGGGCGCCCCCTTGTGTCCTGGAGTGATATTACACAGGTTTATAAATAAGTACAATACATTTACTTGGTTACAGAGGGTTTTTTTGTTTGTTTGTTTGTTTTGAGGATTTTTAATTTTACCTATTATATTTTGAACCACTTGTTACAAAGTTAAATATGTTTGATCTCATCATGAAAGAAGATGTTTATGCAAGAATACACACTCACCGGCCACTTTATTAGGTACACCACTAACGGGTTGGACCCCCCTTTGCCTTCAGAACT